GAGAATATTGCGTGTGCGTTACCCCAGCAAAATAATGTCGAAAATGGTCATTTAAACTTTATAGATAATTAGTTGCTCCCCTTCTGTAATTGTTAAGCACATTTTTAAATTTGTTTCACTTAAACTTTTTTAGTTATTTCAAAAAAACATTTCCTGCTGGGGTAACGTTTGAAACGTTACCGCAGCCAGACATTTTCTTTTTTAATTGTAATATTGAAATAAATTTTAGCTAGAGAATTAGTTATCTGGACTAGGTAAATGTTACAACTTATTTGGTATTTGTATTTTCTTCGGCTGCGAAGTTATTCGAAATCCTGCTGGAGTAACGTTTGTGGGTTTGCTGGATCTCTGAAACGGGTAAGCGGATTGTAACCATCTTTTGTACATAACTTCTTAAGGATTAGTTTTAATTTGTTCGACAATAAAATCACAAAAATAATGGACCGTTTAAAAATTATTTAGGTAAGTATGAAAACACTTCAATACGTCCTAACACTTTAAATAAGACCTCTAAAGACTTACTTCAAACGTTATTCTATTGCTTGAAACTACCTTCAAATGTATACGAATTTTCGTAAGAATACTATAAGTGACTAAAAAGTTATGATGAAATGTAGCTCTCCACGTTCACGATCACAATGTGTGCGGCCTTTTTTGGCCACCGATAAACCTGTGTGTGGATATATAAACTGAATGTTATGCTAATAATTAGTTATTTAGTTCAGTTGTCTACCTGTAGAATTTCAGAGTCGTACATATAATATTTTACGAGATAATTAAATAAAAGTCATTAGAAGGTGCAAGTCCGTGGTAATCCGACCATGTTTAGGTGGTTACAAAAAAGCGATCACCCAGTACATTGCGCTGTCTTTTAAAATGTTTAGTGTAATACACCTTATGATTTCGGTACAGTTGCGTACAGTGTTAAATACATTCAATATTTATTCATTATTATTACCTATTATTTATTTTGTTTTTTTCCCTAAGTGATCTTAAGCACTAGTTTCTTTACTTAAAATTTCTTTAGTCTCTTTTACTACCGGAGCTACAATCAACAGAAAATCTGCACTGGTCCGCTAAAATTATAAATATGTAAATACATGTATGAACGATTCACCTGACTGCAATAAATCGAAAATTTAAACCAATAAGAAATCGTTTCATTTCTTTGATTTTTTTTGTAAAGAAATAACACTAAAGTAATTGTATTTTATTTTGGGGTGTATAGAGCTTAGACTTGAATGCATCAAAATATTTAAAGCAACAAGTCATCTACAATAAGTTAAAATAGACCGAATAGTAGAAGAATACAGTTGTAAATTAGAATGCATCAACATTGCATCGCCCAACAGTCGTATACCTCGTAAGAGTAGGTAATATTGTTCTGTGGTCTATACCGAGAACCGAGAATTATCTATACCTATGTACCTACCGTTAAGCGTTGAGCCCGTGACTGTTGATTTCTGTTAAAAACGAACAGTTGTTGAATGATATTTTGATACAATAACGGTAATTTAATTAATCGAGTGAAAGTGATACATTTTTATAGATAAAATTATTGGTCAGATAATATTTGTCAATCAAGAATCGCTGATAATACATCTAGAACGCGGGAGGGGAGGGGCGAAGAGATACTTCATTGTTTGCAATTTGCATCTAGTGCACTAAACTTGACCCTTAGGCAGATAATATACGTGTTGTAAAGTACGTGTGCGCTTCCGCTTTCTATTTTTGCAAATATTTATTGTCTTGAGAGTTCTTCAATATGTGTGTACCTAATTACTAATAATGGGCATTAATGCTAATTCGATTCAATTTAAGTAATTGTCAATTCTTGTCTTAGGATATTAATTACTAATGCTAATATTGAAATTCTGTTCAGGGTGAACAAATTAAAAACGATCATAACTTGTAGGTAGGTATATCACTTATTACTAATTTTACATAAATAATTTATTTTATTATAATTTAACTCACCGCGATTTTGTGATCAAATATTTTATTTTCTCCAACATTATTACAGAAATATTGCAATACAGAGTTTGTTCGCGATATGCTAGCCTAAGTCGATTCATCACTTAAAAAAATCCCCATCTATTCACAAAATACCTATTTACAACGCATACGTTACACTCTTCAAAACTTAAATTACCTATACCTACCCTAAAATTAAACTTCAAATAACAAATACTACGCAAGTACCAATTCTATGAACAACTATAAACAATTCACCTAAACATTACGAGGAAACAAAAGCATTCAAAACAATACCTAATCTCCCGGCTGATTACTAATTATGCAATAAACAATCCTAAATAAAAATTATTTAAAAAACATGTAGTTTTTTGTAACACTTATGTACATATCCGTAGTAAACTTACAAATAATATCCTACATATTTTAAAAGCCAGCACAATGTACTGGGTGATCGCTTTTTTGTAACCACCTAAACATGGTCGGATTACCACGGACTTGCACCTTCTAATGACTTTTATTTAGTTATCTCGTAAATTATTATATGTACGACGCTGAAATTCTACAGGTAGACAACTGAACTAAACAACTAATTATTGGCATAACATTCAGTTTATATATCCACACACAGGTTTATCGGTGGCCAAAAAAGGCCGCACACATTGTGATCGTGAACGTGGAGAGCTACATTTCATCATAACTTTTTAGTCACTTACAGTATTCTTACGAAAATTCGTTTACATTTGAAGGTAGTTTCAAGCAATAGAATAACGTTTGAAGTAAGTCTTTAGAGGTCTTATTTAAAGTGTTAGGACGTATTGAAGTGTTTTCATACTTACCTAAATAATTTTTAAACGGTCCATTATTTTTGTTGTTTTATTGTCGAACAAATTAAAACTAACCCTTAAGAAGTTATGTACAAAAGATGGTTACAATCCGCTTACCCGTTTCAGAGATCCAGCAAACCCACAAACGTTACTCCAGCAGGATTTTGAATAACTTCGCAGCCGAAGAAAATACAAATACCAAATAAGTTGTAACATTTACCTAGTCCAGATAACTAATTATCTAGCTAAAATTTATTTCAATATTACAATTAAAAAAGAAAATGTCTGGCTGCGGTAACGTTTCAAACGTTACTCCAGCAGGAAATGTTTTTTTGAAATAACTAAAAAAGTGTAAGTGAAACAAATTTAAAAATGTGCTTAACAATTACAGAAGGGGAGCAACTAATTATCTATAAAGTTTAAATGACCATTTTCGACATTATTTTGCTGGGGTAACGCACACGTCAATGTGCCACAGCGGGGCTTGGCAGGATCCCATGTGGGGATTGAACCCCCAACACTCAGCGCATGGTAAAACAAAAATGAAAATACATTTATCCTGAAATAATAAAAACACTTTATAAAGACGATAAGCCTTTCGTTTATTTAAACTTGGGCGAGTGACTAGAAGTGTAGGAGTTGCATATAAGAAAGCTTGTCTGTCATTTGGGGATTCTCCGATCTGTGATCGTGATCCGTTGTCTTGCTCACATCCTTTTTTCACTGTCATGAGTAGGTATTTCGTGTCAAAGTATTTTTAGTAAGATATATTTGTTGGGTAGATCTTGGGATCGAAAGAAATTGGGCCACGCTGATGAGACCCACCTCTATATTAGACCACACTACGCTTCTGGGTTCAACCGACAATAGTAATGTACAGTACATGTCACATCACATGAGCAGCATTTAATAGTCCACTGCTGGACATAGGCCTCTCCTTAGAAAGGCCTATTATATCACGCTGGCCAGACGGTTTGGTATAGGGTTTGTATCAACTCTTTGTAGTAGTGTTGCTCTGCGTAGTTTGCTCCCTTAGTCGGCTCTTACGACATCCATGGGATGTGTATTCTTAAACCGTCAGCCGGATAATAGGGGTGGTGACACTCCGTATTCTTAATCCGTCACCACACGGACACACGGAGCGAGATAACCGGGGCCCAAACCCCAATCCCCTCTATTTTTTAAGAGGAGAAACGCAAAGGGCGACTACTTTCTTGTAACTTTTGTGGGTGTCCAGCAGTAGACTGCGATAGGCTGATGATGATGATGATAGCCGGAATATTATTTAATCAACCACCTTTGCATAACCATATGTGTCATAGTTATCTATAAATTACCACAGTTAAAAGAATAATTAGAATAAAACTTTTAACTACATTTTTTTAAATTCTACCTCAGTTTTTAAGTAAGATTGTGTATGTATTACATATTAAATTAAATGAAAGCAAGTAATTAATTTCGTTCTCTTCGTTCATTTAAAGGTTATTAGCCTGTTTTACCGGCTAGAATGTCTATAAATAAATTTAACTAGTGTAATTCTACAGTCAATAATGAGTAATTAATTAGTAGTCATAATATCTACAATATAATTCCCTGTCATCAGTCACCTATTAAATATATTTATTGACAAAACGGGCATATAATAAAAAATGGACCTTTTATAAGAGTTTATAATTGCTTAAAGCACATCCATTCGTTTGATTATTATGTGGAGGATCATCCTACCAGGCGAGGTGATAATGCCTGGTGGGCCGCTGCTCAACGTTTGATGTTTGGGCAGTCGTATAAAACATACTACAGCGCCATCTAACAAAGACACCGAATAACGACTGTGGCGACTTTCACATGTAGTCTAACGAAGACATACCGAACTACGGAGTAACCGATAATCCTGTATCGCGATATAAATAATTCTCACATATTCTCACACATTCTCCGATTAGCACATAACGTTGGGTCACGATTCGCAAGGCATGATCACCTCGCCTGGTCCATTCCCTTGTGCTGCAGGGACAAGACACCCGTTTCTCCACATACTAATCGACAACTTTCATAGAGTGACTCAGGATTAGTAGTTACTTCGTTGTAGTACAATGTGTCTTCGTTAGATGGTATTGCAGTATGTTTTTCATTATATACGGATGACGCTACTATAACATTAATATCAAGTGATTAAGGTTATACTTTTACTCTTTACAGGTAAAACTTCTCGATTCATTCTTTGGCGATGGGCGCGCATATATCATGGGTCCTGAGAAGGACTGTTGGTACCTATACACGCTCCTGCCCTTGGAGGGTACAGTAGACGCCCTGGAGAAAGAACATTGCGCCGCCAACGAGCTCTTGGAGCCCGACCAGACCATTGAGATCCTCATGTCAGACCTTGATCCAGCTGTCATGGAGATCTTCACAAGACAGTACTCAGCTAATGCTGCACAAGCCACACGCGTATGTTTATTATTATTATTTACCTACTTATATTTACAGAAACATGTCAGTAAAGTTTAGAAAATTTGTAAGTAATTTGTTTGAAGTTTTAACATTTTGATACCAGCCCATGAAGAAGATCATCACTATCAGTTAGAATAAAATCTAATAATTTTCCATGAAAAAACAGATTTCTGAGGATACAAATACAAAAAAAATCTGTTTATTTCATAAAAAAACATCTTAAGAAGCTTCTAAAGATGAGCGGTTGAGGCCCTCAACGTAGCGGACTCTGCAATCACATGATGCATACCATAAGTCCAAACGAGTATGCCACCCTTCGCAGTACTGAAGACAGTCCCGCCTCTCCATCTGAGACTTACGTCCTATAAGTGTCTAAATTCCAGTTGCCCTATGCCCCATGTCTTGTTGTTCCATCTAAAAATGACTACGTTCTCAAGGAGGGTTAGCGTCAGAAAAGTTAACATGCGATATGGTTATACCACCCCAGGAGTCCTCCAGCAATTCTGTTTCTTCTTAACTCTTCCATTTTTCTTATCCCAATCTTTTTGATTTGTCCTGTTTGTAAACGATTAAATTCCCAACGAACCAATGAGTCAAGTTGAATGATAAGTATGTGTTGCAGATAAATAAAATAAATAAAATGACTGTTCTTTTTTTCAGGAGTCCGGCATAGACAAAATAATCCCGGGGATGGTCATAGACGATTTCCTGTTTGATCCGTGTGGATATTCCATGAATGGAGTTGCTAAAGATGTGAGTATCATTTAATCTGCTTGTTTTATTTTTATTAACTTGTATTTGCCGAGTTTTTTAGTTGACTTGGTCTTGGCTAGTGGTCTAATAAGTTAGATACTATCGTGTTCCATAGTTGTTTGGCAATCGTTCTTCTAACAACAATGTATATAGTATTATTATTTTTTTGTCGGCGCAGATACACTGTTTTTAAGTTATTCATAATTGAAATATTATGACCGTAGGGAGGGCTTTGAGATCTGTCATACAGGTTTCGAGCCTAGTATAGACTCCAGCTCTCACTAAAAAACTTTATATTAATTTTTTTAACACATAATCACGATACTCTGGAACCTGCTGTATCTTATGAGAGTAATAAAGTTATTATTATTGTTATACCAGACCAGTCCACTTATATTAGAATTACGTAGAATATGTATGCTCTCAAGTACACATTTTCCATGAAGAATCTGATTTTTTGATTCAATTTTGTAAAAAAACGTTTCAGAACCTCTGTACTGAATTCATTAGATAATAAATTAATATGTCATGTACTATAATATATAACCGGTAAAGTACAAGTGTATTCATTAACTCTTAATCTGTTATTTTGTTTTGATAATAATTATTTTTTTCCTTAATGAAACTAATTAACAAGTAAGTGTTTTACTGATGTTATTGGACTTAAGGTTTATAAACTGTACAAGGTCACATTTTGTTAAAGAAATAATTGATGTTGTCTGCATATATGCCTAACAAATAAAAATATATAAAATTGCATGCATTTAGCAGGTATAAAGGGTGTAAGGGACGTCCTAACGAACACTGAAATGGTGTATTTAGACTATAGTTCTGAGTCATCATCAGGATCAATCATTGGAATTTTCTGCCGGAAAATTAAACTTTTTATGCATTCAGCTGTCAAAGGTTAAGGTCATTCCCCGTAGGTATCGTACTAAAATAATAACTACATGTGCATTCCGTGCAAACAGTTGACGCACACTAACACGATTTGGCGGCCGGAGGAAGTCCCCGCGTGCTTCGGCTGTTTGATTAATTACATTGCAGTTTTTCTGTAACATGTTCTGTTTACTCGTTGATATTTCATTTTTATTCATTTTTAACCAAAAAATTGGAAATTATAAAAAAAAATTTGAATTTGCCGACAGAAAATTCCAATGATTTTTGACTCAGAGTCATGGTCTGAATACACTATTTCAGTATTCGTTACGACGTCCCTTACACCCTGATTACGTTCAAATATTTTTTGTTTTATTATAAGAGTATGGGTAACATAATAGCGTGATGCAGAATTTACGTAGTTCTGATAAATTTCGTTAGATGGTGTTGCATGTGGTAGGCATTTGTTGACAAACCTCTCAAATTGAGTAAGTTTTGATACTTATATCGGTAGTGTATTTTGATATCTCTTGTTATGCGGACAATGAACGTATTTATATAACAGAAATAGATAACTGATAATAGTAAACATTGTTTCTTTACGCTGCTAAAGGGAGATAAGGATATATCATCTGTAAGTTCTTTATTCTACTTCGTTAATTAGCGAACTTGTTTTATTCTTTGTTAATTTTTTCCAATTTTTTTTTTGATTATGTAAAACGAGTGCTTAGGGTAACTACGAACAGTGATCTAATCTTTTTTTTTTGTTATTATAAACAAGTTTATATTTTTTATAAAAATTGGTAGCTCTTGTCTTGTGAGGTTGTTCTCGTTTCAACTTATATTTTAACCTACAAAGTTTAGTAACATTTGATAAAATAACTATGCCTATGCATGATTTTTTGTTGGGAATTTATTTAAAAAAAATCTTATACATACATACAATTTATGTAATGTTATATTTCCTCTATGTCCAGGGCTGCTACATGACGATCCATATAACACCTGAGCCGGCCTGCTCTTATGTCTCGTTCGAGTCTAACGTGCCCGTGTCGTGCTACGAGGAGGTGATTACGCGCGTGCTACAGGCCTTCCGGCCGAATAAGTTCGTGCTCACCGTTTTCGCTACTCCGGTAAGTATAATAAGTGATGTGTTGATTTAAAGCTTAATTTGAACCAAGTAAACCATAATAAATAAATCAGGAAATGTATTTCTTGTAAGAGAGCTGTTTCAGTTATGTTAAACGTGAAACTCTTGCGTTGAGTTGTTATTGGCGTAATTGTATGATGCATTAGAAATAGTGTTGGTGACAGTATAGAACCTTGCGGCATGCTAGCCTTTTTGCCGTTATAGTCAGTATGTTATTGTTTTATTTTGTTATTCTGAAGCTTTGATGACTTTCTTTGTCAATTCATTTGCAAGTTCAATCGTGTAGACGGAAAAGCTTTAAGTTTAATGATGAATTTCTATGTGCAACTTAATCGAAGGTCTTCGCTTTATCTAAACATACCTAGTTTTTACTTACGTAATTAATTATTTTAAATTACATTACATTCAAATTTTAAATTTCATTTACATTACATGCAAATGAATGCAAGAACATGTCTGTGATAAGTACTCTACTTGTGTAATCTTAAGTTAACTTTGCAAAAGGCTATTAGTAAACCGAGATGTTTTCGCTGTGACGTTGGAATTTTATTTCTAATTCGCTGTCTACCCGCCTCTCCGCAGGACTCCCCGGGCGCGGAAGCCGCGCGACAGCTGAAGAAGTTCCCGGCCCTGGGCACGTACTCGCTGCTGGACGGCCAGCACTGCCGCTTCGCCGGCTACTCGCTGCAGTACGCGCTGTACTGCAAGTTCCCGAGCTGAGAGCGCGGCGCGCGGCCGCTGCGGGAGCTGCCGCGCACCGCCGCGCCGCCCCGCCGCCGCCTCGCCGCCGTGCTGCGCGCGCCGCCCCGGCCCTGCCCGTGCCTGGCGCGCCTGGCGCGTCTCGTGTGTCCCGCGCGCCGCGTCTAGCGCGCCGCAGCCCGAGCGGTGAGTAGCGCCGCTGGTCCGCCATCGCACGCCCCATTACGTCTTATCATTGTCAGAGATTTCAAATCAAATAAAGATTTTGTCTCACTACACCGACGCTTTTATTACCTTTCTTTTTGATGTATGCATAGATTTATGACGAGTTTAATTCATTATAAATGAACTCTCATAGGCGACTTGTTGTTTATAAATAATAAGCAACAAACACAATCAAATCTAGTTATTGATATGGCGATTAGGAGTCTTTGACTATATAAATAGAGACTGGGTGTACAAATACCAGCCTTGGCTTTTGCCGATATTCGCGGTGGAACAACACTACTTGATCTGGGTGTGCTGAAGGTTGAATTAAAACAACTCGACAACTGAACGGATGTAATAGTATTGTTCCAAAATTACAAATTAGAAAGACCCATTTACGTTGGCCTTGTGAACATAACAATGGTGACATCTAATTCGACATTATCGCCATCTATTGAGCTTTAGGTCAACATTGTACATGATAGCGTGTAGAACACTGGGTGAGTATTGTAAATATTACCAGTAATAGGACCTTATGTGAACATAACCAAAGCCTTTGACTATGTTAATAACAATATATTAAAAAAAAACTACTTAATACAGAGTTTCTTAAGGCAGTGTACGAGGCCCCCTTGTTGTTTATGTATGAACAATTTATTGTTATCCAAAAAATAGTAATACAAAAGCAATATCTGTCCAGCCAAAGAACTTACTTTACAAGGCGTTCCTCAAGGCAGTGTCCTAGGTCCCTTCTTGTTCACAAGTAAATAGTTATGGAATTGCCATCAACAGGATATTTAATAATATAAAGGCTACATACATCTAGCCAAACGGTTATTTTATACGGCGTTTTGGCCAAATTTTGGCTATATTTGCTGAAATACTTAAGACTATTATTACTGGCGACAGCACATTTAATTTGTTGTACTTATGTTTATGTTCCTTTAAAAAAATAGATACAACTCGCTTACTAGATTTATGCAATTTAAAACAATTTAAATTTAATATATTGAAGACACAGATCGTACCAATATGCAGGTTATTCATTTAAAAAGTAGTACAACTTACAAAAAAGAAACACATTTTTCAATAATTTAATGGCATTTATTGACTGGATTGAAGTTTTATTATTCTTTGTGGTTTTTTTTACAACTCCCGCATGAGGAATGTATTCTGTGTATCAGAGGATTTTGCAAACATAGCTAAGATGGACACAAGGAGCACCCAGGCTTAGGGCAACAAATTGTGGATCACACAAAGTATTACCCATGTGATGATCGACCTACAACACTCAGCGCAGTAGAAAACGGCGTGGTGACCACTTAAACAACTACGTAATCCGTGCAGTCATTCAACCATTTGTAGTATCCAGTAAGGATCCGCCTTATAGCATAGGGTTTGCATACATAGAGCTCCAGAACATCTTATATGTACCACGTCAGACGTGGGTATAATGTATCTTGCAGAACTTTGTATCGTGTCAGTTAACGTCCATCATTGCTTTAATTATACTTTAATCAGTTCGCGTCCACAATCGACTATCAATTGACAGTTCATTCAATCAATTGACATGTCGCGACTTACATGTCGTTTACATTATAGGTTATTGCAGACAATTAACGATAGTGCATCAATCGCTATTGAACGAATCGCATTTTGACCGGCTGTGTCTTGTATTGCACTTAACGCAAGTTTTCCAATTATCGATAGCTATTCTATAGTTTGATCAAAAAGGAATTGGAAAGTCGTTTTCGATATCTGATTGACTGACTAACAAACAGCTTTATACTGCCAAAACGTTTAAGCTACTTAACTATTGGGACCTAACCTTTACCTGCCTACGACTTACGGAAATTCACCCTAGTTGACACAAGATCCCCATAGTATACCGCCCCAGATGTCACCTGCAAGCTATTCAGCATTATATTACGTTAATTATACCAAAGACTACATTCCCAGAGGATATGATGAGCAGACTGTTCATAGTGAGAGTTAGGTGTTGAGCATTGACACAATGATGACTCGACTAATTTAAATGAATAAAGCTTGCTCTTAAAGTTACCATGACCCGTAAGAAATTAAGCGACACAGTGATCCACCTCAAGCCATATCCTCGACAACCGTTCGCGAACAGATGGAAAGAATTGGTAAAGATGGCGCCCCTTGGATGATTCATCCCAGCGTTGTTGCCATTCGTCTATGAGGTCATTATAGACATCGGGCTGCTGTTGAAGCAATCTTGTAATTTTACCGCGATCCCGCGCGCCCAAAAAATCGCATTCCATGTTTTGTTGTCTTGAATAGTACATGGCTGCACGTCTCTGCACCTCGAGATCAACCGGAAGCACACCCGCCAACACCGGCAAAGCCTCAGTGCTAACCGTCCTATATGCCTTACACAAGAATATCAGTGCAAGTCGTTGGCCTTGTAACAGTTTGCGACGGACAGCGCCTACGGTCGCCCTATCGGCCCATACAGGTGCACCATAGCACATAGAACCTAAATAAGTAGCTCCGTATATGATCTTTAATGTATTAAATGATAGACCCCATGTCGCAGTTGATATCCTTGTCAATGCACGGCAACTCTTTTTAGACTTTTCATTAACTATTTTAATATGTTCGATAAATGAAAAGTTTCTTTCTAAAACTAATCCTAGACAACACACTGTAGTTTTATTTTTTACAGTAACATTGTCAAATCTAATGCTCGGCGGTGATTTGAGGTTACCTTTTAAAAGTAGCTGGAAGGTTTTGTTGGGTGCAAAAGTTAAGCGATTACATTCACCCCATTGAGATATCAAGTTCAAACATCTATTGGCTAATCTCTCAAGCCCCGCCCTAGTATCAGATTCCACCAGTAATAAGCCGTCATCAGCATACGCGTTCAGAGTACATCCGGATGGTATTGGTATCGCAAGAAAATCGTCGAAGCCGATATTCCACAAGTATGGACCTAGCACCGATCCCTGAGGACATCCCATTGTAAGCGCCTTCGACACAGAATGATGACCAAGTCTTAGTTTAGTTGTACCTTGTGAAAAGTACGAAGACTTATAAAATGTCGACATATTTTTTTTAATTAGACAGCGTGGTCTCAGTAATAACCATAGCAGCGCATACTTGTTGACACCACCAGAGCGGCGTTCATGTATCCGTCTATGGGGGTACCAGATAAGTTAAGGCAAGAGCTGTAGCCTGTTTTTTTTTGCATGCTTTTCTAGTATAGTAAATTAGTGGGTAACTTACGCACTAGATCCGAAAGATGATAGAAATAGTTCGGACCGTAGTTTCATGGATTCGGATCGGATTCTGATCGAACGTAGTTAACCGTTAACCGCTCTTTCTCTGTAGATTAGCGTGTTTGATTGAATTATGTTTTTTTTGTAATATGTGAATGTTGCTACACTTTTATTTCGTGAAATCGTTCACTTTCGGTACCTATTTCTTTTTATAGATAAAAACAATAACTTACTTAAATTAATGATAACCAATATTTTTCAGGTTTTAATTAAATTGAATTACCAGAGGACTAATAATTTTTTAATAGACAACTGCCTTCATTTGTATACACAAGGATTACCATGAAGTTGACTTATGTTAAAACTATCGACGTCCCCGTGGATTGCAGAATATTAGGAGCCGAGACAGGTGGACAGCTTTATTTCACATAAACCATTCAACATAATAACCACTTTAATAAGAAGATGCATAAGGTTGTTGATGATGATACTATGAATTAAGTTTTTAAAGACGATCGGACGCGGTTCAAAGCACACACGTTAATTTTCGCTCCAACATGAAGAAACCGCCATTCTGACTTCAGAATGGCGGTTTCTTCATGTCTATCTTCATTTGCCTATATTTTCATTCAGTAGATTGTTTTAGTACCCACGTAGATTGAATGTTTTGGTACACCCGCCCTCACTGAGAAAGGGCCACGAAATAAAAAAAAAACTTTTCATAAAGAATCATTTATTAAGTATTTAAATAGTCAGCCCCCACCTTTACATAACATTGTATAATTTATAGTTTAGATCAATACATATCAGTCTTATAACTAACCAAAAAACTATATTACTATCACCTTTGACAATAAATAAACCTAATACAATAGTATTTGTCCCTGTATTCCATTTATTCAGTGTAAAAACCAAGCGAGTCTTATAGCAGTCGTATATATTAATAATAATCTCACACACGGCTGTTAGATCCTAAACTAGGCAGAGCCTGTACTATGGTAACCAGACTGCTGATAAACATACTTATATATTTCTAAATACATACATATTATACATAGATAAATTACACCTAGAAACATAACCTCTGACACCTCATGCTCTGACGGCAAACTAATTTTTCCCGCTTCCTGTTACACATTTCCGTTCCTAACTAGATGTTATACGCTAAAGACATTAAACCTTTTATCTTTTTAACATTTAATAAGACACAGTGTGGTGATAGATTGTCTTATAAGTACAGATAAAAATGTTTATACGTAATATACAGACTGTTACCAGACTTATGCCAAAGACTTAAATTACAGATAACACAGTTCAATATAAGTCGGTTAAAATATAAAAAAAACAAAAAAATACAAAATAAAAAAATGCAAATTTAGAACAAAATAAATACAATAAAATAATGCCGAATTGGAGCACCATTGATAACACGGGTCACTCACCTGTAGACGACGCGACGGCAGCGATGCAAAAATGGCGCCAACATCAAAATGAGCCTAGCGACGCGGCGCCGCAACGGCGGAGGCGCCGCATCGAGCAGCCGAATATTACATTCGTATCACTAATCAGTTACTTCACTTGCGCTTTATTTAAAATCACTAAATCAATTTATTAAAATATGAATACCACTCGCAACAGTTTTTATTCACTAGGTCAATTTTTACTTAAAATTTGATTTAATAAGAATAAACTTTATTGTACACCAGTTTAGTACATCATACATACAATAGTAATCAAATTAATTTAAATTTTTAGGTTTTCAATGTGCCTACCGTTCACATCAATGCATCGAATACACCTTCGCATCATGTTGTCTCGTATTCTAGCACACAAGTTGTCATTTGCTGCCAAAGCTTTTAGTTTATTAAATGCACTTATTATCCTCGATCTTAGGTCTTCTATTGAAGTGACGTCTGTTGTGTACACTTCATTTTTAACATATCCCCACAAAAAAAAGTCTAGGGGCGTGAGATCTGGTGATCTAGGTGGCCATCGTGTAGGCCCATAGCGTCCTATCCACTGTTCACCAAACATGTGATTAAGACGCTCCCTGGCAGCCACCACTGAATGGGCAGGCGCTCCGTCTAGCTGGTACCACATACGCCTGCTTTGAGCTACAGACAGTTGATCTGTATAATCTGACACTGGGCCATCAAGCAATTCCAAAAACCTGATAGCAGTCAAATTTCCATTAATGAAAATTGGACCGATTATCTTATTGCCGTGAATTGCTGCCCATACATTCAACGAAAAACGGTACTGGTGGGAAGATTCGCGTACAGCATGAGGCTTTTCCCTAGCCCAATATCGCAAGTTTTGGCGATTCCATATACCATTACGTGTGAAGGTACTCTCGTCAGTCCACATGATGTTAGATAGAAATTCAGGGTCATTCGTTACCTTCGTACATAACCACTGACAGTAAGCCACTCTTATGGGTTGATCTCTGTTTAATAAAGCCGATACTTTTAGAAATCTGAAAGGCCGTCGTTTATTAGCCTTTAAAATACCGTGGACCTTTTTGTGGTGAACACTGAATTGACGAGCAGCCCTACGTAAACTGCATGTAGGGTTACGCGTAAAATGGTCTAACACACGTTCTTCAAGGGCGATCGGTGTTCGGGGAGCAAACTCAACATCACGTGGCACCAAACTTTGATTGTCTCGTAATCTTTGTACCGCCCTTACAAAAATTCGGCTGTCTGTAGGGCATACACGAGTGGTTCCATATCTCTCACGGTATGTCCGTAAAGCTAAAAAAGCGTTTTGATGGCATTCCCCGTAAATTAAGACCATGTCAGTATACTCCGGGGCTGTAAAGGTCACTCGCGGCATTATGAATGTTAATATTAATAATTCAATATAATTAAAACACTAGTAAGAAACCTAGTTTACACTACACACACACACACTCCACAACAAAACTAATATTGTTACTTTCAAAACAAAATTAGCGGGACTCGTTGCAATACAAACAGTCTTGCAACAACTGACCGCAGACCGATTGACGCTACTCTACTTTCTAGAACCCGGAAGTCATCGAATATTAAATAATTAAATCAATGCTGCCAATTGTCAAAGCTCAAAAAACATTATTATAATGAGTTTACCTATAGTAATCATTACGTACTGTAAATAAAACATTTAATATAAACAATATAATTTACACAGCCTAATAATATTAAAATACTTATTTATTAGCATATTTTGTTTATAATCAATATGTAAAAAAAAAGCGCGCAATTACGATGCATACATGCTAATAGGTTGGTAGCGATCCGATGACACAGTAACCAATTACATGCTTCTAATTTATTTTCGCCGACACTGACCAACACAAGTGTAAGAACCTTGTTGTCAGACACAGTATTATCTTCCGTATGCCGTTGCAATATGTTTGATTTTACTTTAAAGAAATTCTTATTTTTTTTTTTATTAATTATTATTTCGTAACTTGTGCGGTAGCGTTTGTATAGCGACAGCGGGAAGGTCATTGACACTTAGTACTTTAGCTTTGCGTAAACATATGGTGTTGTAAAATACGAAACACAAAAATGAGTCCTGTGGCTAAACTACTGGATATATTTTATTCATATTTTGCAAATCGCCTAGAAATTAAGGACAGAATATAGGGCTTAAATATTTGTATAACGAAATAAAACACTCTGTATAAACATAAGTTATATTTTTAAATATAAGAAAAAAATATTTTTAAGGGTAAATTAGAATTAACTTCTTAAAGAACATCACAGATTATATAAAAAAGGAATTAAATACATAGATTATTACTAGACTATTATAAACTATAGCGCGATTTACATGATCGGTTCAACACCATCTATCGAATCCTATAAGAAACGTGTCAGAGGAGACATAGTACAAATTAGTGATGTGCCGGATATCCGTATCCGCGGATATCCAAGGGAGAAGAGAGATCCGTAACCGTATCCGTATCCGTGACTTTTTTGGCGGATCTTTTAATACATATTATATAGATGAAATTCTATATAGGTGATTTTGTATTCACTGTAAAACTTTTAGGTATGGGTTTGTAACACTATTAACAGCAACTTTTTTTCTGGCCAACGTCAAAATGAAAAAAAATTGGTTCTCCATTCAAATAACCAATCAAATGTTGTTAGTTTGTATGGAGAAACAATTTTTTTTCTTTCGTTTTCAGTGTTAGTCCTGAAGAAAAGTTTTACTAAAATGCTTATAATTTTACTAAAATGCACTTCAGAGGTTTTCAGTAAATTTAAAATAACCCTGAATATTGGTTATTAGGTAGCTATGAAAAACTATTGAATTCTGTTCAGATTACTTTTTATTTCTTAAAACAAATATTTGGCACCTTTGTATTGCAATCATTTATCGTACTATACTAAATCAACTAGGCAGGTCGTAGGTATTGAAAGAGCTATCTTTATAATGAGATCAATCAAACATATTTGTATTAGCTTATTAAAATAATGAAATATTTAAATATCAACGGCAAAGCGTCAAGTGGCGACAACTATCAAGGTCACGGGCTCCGATTAAGTAAGAAACTTAAGATCCGTATCCGTATCCGCGGATCTTGACACCAAATATCCGTATTCGGATCCGTATCCGCGGATATACTTTGTTAACGATCCGGCACATCACTAGTACAAATTCAAAACATGGACGTACACAATACTAAAAGTAGCCACCTATTAACCCATTTCTTTTTTAAAAAAGGAATAAAATACATAGTGAAAAACTGATGAAAAGTACTTAGCGACTTATTTATGTTTATTTAGTATTAAACTAAATGTCCATATAAAACTAAATTTATGTTTATTAAGTAAAAAAGTTAAATTAAAATAACCTCCTTGAATAACAGTCTCAGTTTTTAGTGTTAGTGCAATAATGTCGCAAGTATAAAGTTTTAATTTAATGTAGTTTTAAATTATATAGATTAAAGAACAATGTAATTAAAAAAAAATGTTCTGTTTGTTTTTGTAACTAATAAATTAGTAATTTAGCTTTAAGTTAAAAAATAAGTGAAAGAATGATTTAATTTATGAGTGTCATAGAATTTAATATTCAATTAAATAAATCTTACATTATAAATATATGTTCATAGATTAGAAATATTCTATAAATATCCAGAAATACTCTATTAATTTAAGAAATATGAAAAAAGTTTCAATATCTATCCTGATATAATTCGTTAATAGAAGGGCGCCCTAGGGCAGCGCGCAGGTAGAAGAGCGAACTAGGGCAGCGCGCAGGTAGAAGGGCGCCCTAGGGCAGCGCGCAGGTAGAAGAGCGAACTAGGGCAGCGCGCAGGTAGAAGGGCGCCCTAGGGCAGCGCGCAGGTAGAAGGGAGCCCTAGGGCAGCGCGCAGGTAGAAGGGAGCCCTAGGGCAGCGCGCAGGTAGAAGGGAGCCCTAGGGCAGCGCGCAGGTAGAAGGGAGCCCTAGGGCAGCGCGCAGGTAGAAGGGAGCCCTAGGGCAGCGCGCAGGTAGAAGGGAGCCCTAGGGCAGCGCGCAGGTAGAAGGGAGCCCTAGGGCAGCGCGCAGGTAGAAGGGAGCCCTAGGGCAGCGCGCAGGGCGGCGCGGCGCCCCCGAGCGCGGGCCCGAGGCGCGCGGCGGCGGCGGCACACAGCGCGTCCCCGCGCGGGGCCGCCGCCGCCTGCACGCCCAGCGGCAGCCCGCCCCCAGACACGCCCAGCGGGATCTGCAACGTTACACTCTTTTACTTTGTTGAACCGGTACTCGATGCTCCAGTTTTCGTATTTAGAATCGAAAGCGGTCTCTTATGCCTGCAGTGGTCGGTTAGGTGATTCACCGAGCTCCTTCTATGAGCGCAGGGACCTCCCGAAACGTTCACAGGCTTTTAGAAGCGAGCCTGTATCAGGTATAATCTAGACTGTTGAGTGGCCACTCCCTGGCTTCCAGAATGAAGTGGGCGAAGGATTTTACTCATCAAAAACTATTAATTCATAAACGCACCACTTCAGAATAACTTAATTGAACTTATAAAATATATTTTTTTCGGAATTTAATGACAATGAGATTTAAATCATATACAAAATGTAACTAAAACCTTATTCTGCAAATAATCTTTTTTTATATACACAAATTTCTTGTAGAACACATTTTTTGTGTTACTTATTAATGTAACTTATCATTAAAAAAAATATATAAGTGACAATACATACCTGTGCTGCTGGGAACTTAAGCACGTTGAATATGCCCCAATAGGCGAAGTTATACGGTTTCAGTAGAGGGGAGTAGTGGTAGGGGGCCGGAGTAGGCGCGCTCGGGAATATTAACACTCCATCGGAACCTAGAAGATTCTGGAACAAATAATAATAAACCTTTATTCAATAGGACATTACAAAAAACATATCTTTTTATCTAAAATATTATATGTCCAACGGCACCACTTCATTCTACACATTCATTTCATTCATTCGGCACATTCATTTCATTCATTCGGCACATTCATTTCTAGCTCGGGAATGAGTGTCTACTCATTCCGGAGCTAAAATTGAATCTGTATTACGTGTAGTCAGAGCTGTTGATCCGATGTCCGCACAATGTTTCACAAATTAAAATGTAACAATGGCAATTTAAGTCTGGTTCCTAAACTAGGTATGACTGTTTAATAGGAACCAGTAGATAACTAAAATAAGTGCATGCATTAAGCTACTAAAATAACATTACATAGTATATTCCAATATTTAAGAAAAAAAAACCGCTCTTCTTGGTCAATATTCATGAAATTACTGCTATAAATTGCAGGACAGGACATATATGTTACATACAAATAAAAAAAAATAGTTTTAAAAAACTAAAAAAACACGCTTTCTATAGAAAACCAAACTTAAAAATAGAAAATAAATTTGAAAAAAAAGCGTTGGGTGCCTGTTGTCAATAGTAAAAAGCACCACACCAACAGAAGCAAGAATGGATTTCTTTTTATGGAGTCATCAACAGCCTTTTATAGTCCACCGCGAGATGTAGGCCTCTCTGCCTGGCCTGCTCTCTTAGTCGGATCTTACGACACCCACGGAACGAATAGGGGTGGTGACACTATGTATTCTTAATCCATCACTACACGGACGGGTAAGTGGCTAATGACATGACCCCCCCATTCTACCACATTCACACAGCTCCATCTAGTCCCAAACTAAGCAGAGCTTGTACTATGGGTACTAGACAACTGATATAAATACATATATACTTTTATAAAGAAACATCCATACTAAATCAAACATTAAAAGTTCATGCACACAAAGGTTGGAATTGGGCGGGAAACGAACGCAGAGCTTTGGCGTAGCAGAAAGTTCGCAACACAAACCACTACGCCATCAGGCTGTCGAAATGCAACAAAAGTAATGCTCAACATTGGTTTTCTGCGTGGTTGAGACCACTCATCAAGGCATGGCACTCCCTCGGCATATCATGTCTCTCTAACGGTAAATTATTAAAAGAAACATCTCTCCTCAAGCAAAAAGAAGAGGCACACTCTTTCTACTTCAGATATACAGCAATATACATAGCAATACTTACGATCAATTCTTCTCTCAGTTCAGCGGTCAGTTTCTCGGCCCACTCCGCATCAACTGGTGGTAATATTTGGTCATCCCCTAACTTCAATATAGCTGCTAGGGTGTAATTCGACTGGCCAAGCAACTAGAATAATAGGGTAAATATTAATTATACATACAATACAATTAAATTCCATTCCATGCTATTATCTATCTCTGGATTAAATTTCATCCATTCAAACTTTCACATTTGCTGGTTTTGCATGACTGCTATTTTCATTGTTTAAACTTATCTGTGTGTAATTATGTGTTACATGCCAAAAACATACCTCAGTAAAAATACTCATTTTCTCGCACAAATACTAAACAATAAAAACTAAGAGTACTACTAAAACTAAACTAGTAGATTTCGCAGTTGGAACTTGTCAACTTTTCCTAGAATACCTTTCTTGATTGACTTTCCTTGATTTTAAATCACGCACATTAAAACAAAAAAGGAAAAGTCGCTTCCATAAATAAATTTCATGCATAATCCTGGATTAACTGACTGCACGGATGGCGTAGTGGTTTAAGTTTCGCCACGCTACTACTATTCATGGGACTACACTTTGTGTGATCCACAAATTGTTGTTCTGAGTCCGGGTGTTCTTTGTGTCTGTTTCATGTATGTTTGTAAAGTCCCCCGCAACACAGGATATACTTATCCCTAATGGTTGAGTTGTTGAGACGAAATAAGAAATTTTCTACTATTAAAACTTTCACATTTGATGGTTTTGCATGGTTGCCACTTTTATTGTTTAAACTTATCTGTGTATAGTTCACTTTAATCTTAATCCTGGTACTACTTGATTGTGTGTCTATCTAGTGATGTGTACTGTGCATGCCTTTAATTGGTCTACATATAAGGACTACCCTTTATTTTGAACTGTATTTTGAACAATGTTGTAAATGTATACTGTTGGCGTGTCTATAATAAATAAATAAATTTCGTACAAAAAGATACATTATAATCTGGACTAGGTCGGTCACTAGGTCATAACATAAGTTATTTATCTCGGAAATCGAGTGCAGCCGCAGAGCAAAGCTAGTAATTTATAAACAGCGGTGCCTCGCGGTGTTACCACACTACAATTTTTCGGAACAAAAAGTAACCTATGTGTTAATGCAGTGTGTCAGCTACTTTCATACCAAATGTTATCAAAATTGGTACAGCCGTTTGAGTGTGAAGAAGCGACAAACATACGAACACACACATTTACAAACTTTTGCTTTTATAATTTAATAATACTAGCTTTTCGCTCGACTCCACCCGCGTGTGTGTCGGTTATCGCGGTAAAAAGTAGCCTATGTTACTCGCTGATAATGTAGCTTTCTATTGGTGAAATAATTGTTCAAATCAGTTTAGTGGTTTAGGAATGAAAGCGTAATAAACAAACAAACAAACTCACATTTGTAAATATGGATTAGTGTAACTAAAGAGTGCATGATACCTTCTTGGGCAATTCCTTGATGAACCTGGCCTCTCCCTCGTTGTTGGTGAGTAGTTTGGCGAAGTTATCAGTCTCCTTGGTCATCCAGTACCTCCACAGGGAGTACATGTGATTGAAACCTTCGTGGTAATACGGTTTGGGGACATATTCTGTAGATGTAGCGTCAACTGTTAGCTTATTTATTACTCTGCAAACAGAAATATGTACCTTTTATTAAAGTGTGTAAGGATAAATTTACAATTCCCACTCCGCTGATTGTTGGGGGTTCGATCCCAACATGGGACAACATTTTGCGTGATCCACAAATCGTTGTTCTGAGTCAGGGTGTCCTTTTTGCTTGTTGTACGTTTGTTTGTAACGTCCCCCGCGACACAATGCGACTTTTATTTGCTTATCTAAAAAATAACTATAAAAATTAAGTTTGTTTATCAGCAGTCTGGTTACAACGGTGACGGGGTGAAAAATCCCTTCGTATCTCCGGTTCTTGTGGGATTTAGAAGCCAGGAGTATGTGGTGTTTTCACTAAAAACCACTCAGCCTTAAGCGCCCTGCTCTAGGGAGAACCCGGGCCATGTGATTTCAGGTGCCCCCAGATCGACGCCGCACCTAACTAGACCCTATCTCAGGGGAAACCAGTGGCTTCCCCCTGCCTGCCTATCAGCCTTAGAGGCTCTGACCAGTTAAGGATTAGACCATGAGTGAGATGTGTGTGATATTTAAAAAAAATATTACGTACTTGTTCATGGCTTCTCTGAGCTCTTCGCAGATTGGACTGATACGAGGGTCGTTGGCTGACTCCACGTAGAAGTACCGCAGTTTCTGTAAGATAGTATTATGTCATAATACCAAAGCAGCAATTTTGTTTTCATACCACAGCGGTAAGCATAAGTTAAGTCCATATGGTTAGGTTGATGGTAAGCGGTTACCGTAACCTATGGACATTTGTACATGTTCAGTTGTTCTCTTGCATGAGTAAGTATTTCTGTTGATAAACATTTATAAGGCAATTGTGATTGTCAATATACTCGTATATCTTTCAATTCTGATTTTGTAACGAGTAACGCACTCCGACTTTGTACGGGTATACATACCTTCTTTTTTCTAGTAATGTGGGCGTAACTAATGTAATTGTTAAATCCTTAAACCAAATGCTAATAGGTGTAAGTTTCGTCCGGAGGCTTTATTGAAAGCTGACGGTTTGGTTCCATCATCCATTCCAACACCCCCCTCCTCCCTTCACAAATAAATATTGCGCTATGTTTGTATGCCATAGAAGATTAGACATAATGCATTGTATATTATTGTCATAACTTGGCAAGTTAAGTCGTTCCGCACACTGCACCGCATTACGCAGCGTATCGCGGAAGTGCGTGTTCTTACGTTGTTTGCATTCAAAACACGCGTTGTACAACATACGGTCACGCGCCTACATGCAGAAATCTTCATGATGGTGTAAATCTGCACTTCAGCAACAACGCGCGTGGTTACGTCGCCACGGAACCCGCAGCGTAGAGGGAGTGTGTGAATCGCCTTACACGTATCTATGTATGTGTATTTGAGTATGTATGCATGTACTTGGTTTATACCAATGTCTTAGATATTTTTTTACCTCTTTTAATCTACTGCACTTATTTCTGGATCACCGATTGGAAGAAAAGGTATTAAGTACACCATTAATGCAATTTAATTTCTATTCAAAGTATCAAATAAATCAGTACTTAGGTTCGTGAGTACCTAACCTTTGCTTTCAATAACTGTACATGACTAAATGATTTCATGGTTATCAATATATATTGTATATATTATTTATGTATGTATATGTATAAATAAATAATAAAATAAAATATATATATATATTTTTTTTTATTTTCTTTTTTTAAAGAGACAGCTCCCGCATTAGGAATAAATCCTGTGTCGCGGGGGACTTTACAAACATACATGAAACGGACACAAAGAACACCCAGACTCAGAACAACAATCTGTGGATCACACAAAGTGTCGTCCCATGTGGGGTTTGAACCCACAACACTCGGCGTAGTAGGAAGCGGCATGGCGACCACTTAAACCACTACGCCATCCGTGCAGTCATTTCTATATGATTTTCATCTTATGGTCATCAGATTCTTATATAAAGTTTGTTACTAAAACTAACGTAAAACAAGTTTATGACTATTCTAAAATGTGTAAAATTGAATATAAAGAGGTAAAAACAATATTTTAAAAATTATTTTGCAAACAGCCTGAGCTAGGTGTGAGACCTGTGTTTCTGAGCAGTCTCTTGACTATGTTAGTTACACGACGTTCATATGTTAAAGTTTTAATAAATTGATATTGTAAATTACTTCAGACTGGTTTTTATACACAAATATATGTATATTATTTATTGTTTAGCCTAATTATAGTTTAAATTAGATCATTTTAAAATTGCTAAGATGTTTTCTGTGTCTGCGTAGTTAAGCCTACATAAATATTTCCCTACTAGAGTTAGGTATGTGTGTGTATGTATAGTTATATTTAATTTATATATTTATTTTTACACTACTGTAGCTGTAATACACCTAGACTACCCATAGTTTCTTCTCATCTACTGTCGATTTGTCCATCCAAAGGTTGCCTGTAAGGGATTGCTAAAAGCAATCTCTTACAGGCAACCTTGATGAACTATTGTACATATCCGTCTGTAATATTTATCTAACATATTGTAATTGGTGTACAATAAAGAATATTCTAGTGTATTCTAAATAAATATTATCTATTACTAATTGTAAATTATACTAACTTTGACGTCTACAACTCTATCGAGGTCCAGGTCTTGGGCTTTCTGCCCAGCCACGACCTTCGTGAGTGGTGCGAGGTCGCTGTGGTGCCGCGACACGAAGCCCACTGACGCCATCGTTGGATCCTCTCCCGAGCGAAGAGTAGACCCTGGGGGGAGAATTGAGTATTCCAGTATGCTATATTTTTACGAACTAGTGGCATTCAATGACGTAATATACAACGATACAAAAACACTAAGTACATACTTCCTCGCGTGAAGAAAGAGAAAGAAAATAAACCTACCTATTACAAGCTACCTATTGTTAGAGGGAGATGAATATATGTCGCTAGTTGCGTTATGATTAAGCGACTAAATAAAATGATGGTAATTACCACCCTTTTTAATTTACCATTTCATAGTGCGGGTAAACGCATCTATTCATATCTATACTAATATTATAAATGCGAAAGTGTGCCTGTCTGTTACCTCTTCACGCTTAAACTGCTGAGCCGATTTAGATGAAATTTGGTACAGAGATAGTAGGGTTAGTTTTTATTCCAGATATCATCCTTTAAAGAGGAGTGGAAAGGGGGGTGGAATCAATAACCGCTGAACCGATTTAGGTGAAATTTGGTATAGAGATAGTTTGATTTTTGAGGAATAACACATACTTTTTACCGCGATAACCAGCATACACGCGGGCGGAAGGGCGAGCATAAGCTATTTTAAATATATTTCATTAAGTTTTACCTTTGATGCTAGTATGTCCAGCTGTGGGGTTGAGCGCGTACAGTCCGCAGTAGAAGGCTGGCATGCGAGTAGAACCACCAATGTCTGAACCTGGTCACATATAATATACTAATTTAGCAGTGTAAATATTTAAAAAAGAAGAAACTAACAGACTAATTCACTGACTGATGGATCAAAGCACATCTGAAACCGCTAGATTTAGAAGCTTGAAATTTTGCACAAAGTTCCTTGGTTCACGTAGGTGCGCATTAAGAAAGGATTTTAAAAAATTCCTACTCTAAGTGTGCAAAATGGGGGTAGGATTTAGTAATATTTTATTATTGACGGGCCTGTTGGTGTAGTGGTTAGTGACCCCGACTGCTAAGCCGGAGGTCGTGGGTTCGATTCCCACCCAGGACAAATAATTGTGTGATGAGCACGATCATTAATTTTGTTCTGTGTCTGGGTGTAACCTATCTATAACATATATGCATTTAGAAATTTATAAGTATGTTTATCAGCAATCGGGTTACCATAGCGCAGGCTCTGCCTAGTTTGGAATCAGACTACCGTGGGTTAGGTGTGGAGTCATTTATTTTCTTTATTTCATTAAATATACATATAAATTACATTTGTAAGTATATTTTTGTACAAAAAAGTAAAATAGTGCGACAACTGATTATTATTATTACTGATGTGGCGTAAGTCACATACACTATAGTCAATTCACGGTAAGAAAATAGTGACGTATTCATTAAGCCCCGCCCCCTGACCAATCAGGTTTCAAGAAATTTGCATTAGAAATTAAATTACATTTAGCTTAAGTTTCCTATGTTGTACTTACACAACGAGATGGGAACAGCTATAGCGGCCTGAAGAGCAGCCTCCCCTCCACTAGATCCACCCGCCGTACGACCTGTGTGATGTGGGTTGCAGGTCTGGCCGAACACCATGTTGCGGGTCTCCTGCCTAAACGTTTCAAAATGAGTTTATAGTATATATATATATATATATATACCTACTATAGACATCCCTTACCTACCATAGCTCCCTTTATAAGTGGAAATTATGAAAAAATATATTGAAAGAAACGTGTGCGTTACCCCAGCAAAATAATGTCGAAAATGGTCATTTAAACGTTATAGATAATTAGTTGCTCCCCTTCTGTAATTGTTAAGCACATTTTTAAATTTGTTTCTCTTAAACTTTTTTAGTTATTTCAAAAAAACATTTCCTGCTGGGGTAACGTTTGAAACGTTACCGCAGCCAGACATTTTCTTTTTTAATTGTAATATTGAAATAAATTTTAGCTAAATAATTAGTTATCTGGACTAGGTAAATGTTACAATTTATTTGGTATTTGTATTTTCTTCGGCTGCGAAGTTATTCGAGATCCTGCTGGAGTAACGTTTGTGGGTTTGCTGGATCTCTGAAACGGGTAAGCGGATTGTAACCATCTTTTGTACATAACTTCTTAAGGATTAGTTTTAATTTGTTCGACAGTAAAATAACAAAAATGATGGACCGTTTAAAAATTATTTAGGTAAGTATGAAAACACTTCAATACGTCCTAACACTTTGAATAAGACCTCTAAAGACTTACTTCAAACGTTATTCTATTGCTTGTAACTACCTTCAAATGTATACGAATTTTCGTAAGAATACTGTAAGTGACTAAAAAGTTATGATGAAATGTAGCTCTCCACGATCACGATCACAATGTGTGCGGCCTTTTTTGGCCACCGATAAACCTGTGTGTGGATATATAAACTGAATGTTATGCCAACAATTAGTTGTTTAGTTCAGTTGTCTACCTGTAAAATTTCAGCGTCGTACATATAATAATTTACGAGATAATTAAATAAAAGTCATTAGAAGGTGCAAGACCGTGGTAACCCGACCATGTTTAGGTGGTTACATAAAAGCGATCACCCAGTACATTGTGCTGGCTTTTAAAATATGTAGGATATTATTTGCAAGTTTACTACGGATATGTACATAAGTGTTACAAAAAACTACATGTTTTTAAATAATTTTTATTTAGGATTGTTTATTGCATAATTAGTAATCAGCCGGGAGATTAGGTATTGTTTTGAATGCTTTTGTTTTCTCGTAATGTTTAGGTGAATTGTTTATAGTTGTTCATAGAATTGGTACCTGTGTAGTATTTGTTAATTGAAGTTTAATTTTAGGGTAGGTATAGGTAATTTAAGTTTTGAAGAGTGTAACGTATGCGTTGTAAATAGGTATTTTGTAAATAGATTGGGATTTTTTCAAAGTGATAAATCGACTTAGGCTGGCATATCGCGAACAAACTCTGCAGTGCATTATTTCTGTAATAATGTTGGAGAAAATAAAATATTTGATCACAAAATCGCGGTGAGTTAAATTATAATAAAATAAATTATTTATGTAAAATTAGTAATAGTGATATACCTACAAGTTATGATCGTTTTTAATTTGTTCACCCCGAACGAAATTTCAATATTAGCATTAGTAATTAACATCCTAAGACAAGAATTCGCAATTACTTAAATTGAATCTAATTAGCATTAATTCCCATTACTACTTACTACACACATATTGAAGGACTCCCAAGAATACGATAAATATTTGCAAAAATAGAAAGCGGAAGCGCACACGCACTTTACAAGACGTATATTATCTGCCTAAGGGTCAAGTTTAGTGGACTAGATGCAAATTGCAAACAATGAAGTATCCCTTCGCCCGTCCCCTCCCGCGTTCTAGCTAAGGATGTATTATCGGCGATTCTTGATTGACAAATATTATCTGACCAATAATTTTTTCTATAAAAATGTATCACTCACTCGATAAATTAAATTACCGTTATTATATCAAAATATCATTCAACAACTGTTCGTTTTTAACAGAAATCAACAGTCACAGGTAGGTACATAGGTATAGATAATTCTCGGTTCTCGGTATAGACCACAGAACAATATTACCGACTCTTACGAGGTATACGACTGTTGGGCGATGCAATGTTGATGCATTCTAATTTACAACTGTATTCTTCTACTATTATGGTCTATTTTAACTAATTGTAGATGACTTGTTTCTTTAAATATTTTGATGCATTCAAGTCTAAGCTATATATACCTCAAAATAAAATACAATTACTTCAGTGTTATTTCTTTACAAAAAAAATCAAAGAAATGAAACGATTTCTTAATGGTTTAAATTTTCGATTTATTGCAGTCAGGTGAATCGTTCATACATGTATCTACATATTTATAATTTTAGCGGGCCAGTGCAGATTTTCTGTTGATTGTATCTCCGGTAGTTAAACAGACTAAAGAAATTTTAAGTAAAGAAACTAGTGCTTAAGATCAATTAGGAAAAAAGAACAAAATAAATAATAGGTAATAATAATGAATAAATATTGAATGTATTTAACACTGTACGCAACTGTACCGAAATCGTAAGGTGTATTACACTAAACATTTTAAAAGACAGCGCAATGTACTAGGTGATCGCTTTTTTGTAACCACCTAAACATGGTCGGGTTACCACGGACTTGCACCTTCTAATGACTTTTATTTAACTATCTCGTAAATTATTATATGTACGATGCCGAAATTTTACAGGTAGACAACTGAACTAAACAACTAATTGTTGGCATAACATTCAGTTTATATATCCACACACAGGTTTATCGGTGGCCAAAAAAGGCCGCACACATTGTGATCGTGAACGTGGAGAGCTACATTTCATCATAACTTTTTAGTCACTTACAGTATTCTTACGAAAATTCGTATACATTTGAAGGTAGTTACAAGCAATAGAATAACGTTTGAAGTAAGTCTTTAGAGGTCTTATTCAAAGTGTTAGGACGTATTGAAGTGTTTTCATACTTACCTAAATAATTTTTAAACGGTCCATTATTTTTGTTATTTTACTGTCGAACAAATTAAAACTAATCCTTAAGAAGTTATGTACAAAAGATGGTTACAATCCGCTTACCCGTTTCAGAGATCCAGCAAACCCACAAACGTTACTCCAGCAGGATCTCGAATAACTTCGCAGCCGAAGAAAATACAAATACCAAATAAATTGTAACATTTACCTAGTCCAGATAACTAATTATTTAGCTAAAATTTATTTCAATATTACAATTAAAAAAGAAAATGTCTGGCTGCGGTAACGTTTCAAACGTTACCCCAGCAGGAAATGTTTTTTTGAAATAACTAAAAAAGTTTAAGAGAAACAAATTTAAAAATGTGCTTAACAATTACAGAAGGGGAGCAACTAATTATCTATAACGTTTAAATGACCATTTTCGACATTATTTTGCTGTAGCCCAGTCATATTAGGGCTTTCACCTCGGAATGAAAGATAATAAGCTGCAAATTGGTATGAACCTTTGTTTTGTCATTCTAAATGTTGTCTCAAAAGTCACAATCGTTATCGTGTCCGCGTCTCAAGATATTCAAGGTCAAAGGTCACAAAAATCGGTTTTTCGCGAATATCTGGCTTCCTATCGGTTAAATGAGATTTGCATTTATTATAAAAGTTGTAGGCTATAAAATTCTCTACAACTTTTGTTCAAACTTTTTTTTCATACGACCAACCGTTTTGAGGGTAGAGCGCGAAGAGTGCACATCGTACAGTCATATACGGCCTGATGCAAGGTCAAGCGTGAGTTATGGTTATCAGTACGTTATAAAGTCAATTATTTACTTGGAAATTATAATTATTAAACAATGCCTATTATTTATGTACTAACTATTAATTATTTATATTTAATTAAAGTAAGTAACTTGATTATTTATATATAATTATTCATATTTAACTATTTAAGTATAAAATATTATTAATTCTGGATTATATATTTTAGTTTCATTTTAAGTTAACACGACATTATATATCTTTTCTTTAAAACGCGTAAATTTTATTTTTACACGCATTCAGTGGCTGTGACACGACTTCTGCGCTATTTAAAAAAGGAAAAAAAACTGTTACTAGAGCATTGGAAAAAAATCCTGATTTAGATAAACTGGTGGAAGTATTTCAACAAGAAAACTGCCCAAAACAAACATTATTAGAAAATGGAGTGCGCATCTTGTTGGCATTATATAATGCTCCAAAATCTGAGGACAACATTGATCATTTCCGCTACACGCAATTCATCAAATTTACAAAACTAAATAAACCTGTACAACTGTCAACACTTCCACCAACAAGTGTAGCAGCTCATCAACACATAAAACGTGTCTACTACCAGATTCAAACGTGGTTAGGGAAGGACTTAGAACCTCAAGAATGGGGCTGGATGCTTGAAAATGAAATCCTGGAGCCCATACGAACGTTATTACCTCCAGCACCAGCCGAACTACTAAACGAAATATTTTGCAATTGCAAAAATGGTTGTGGTTCCCGCTGTGGATGCAGAAAATCAGGGCTACAATGTTCTTTAGCTTGCGGCCAGTGCAACGGACAAGCTTGCCTCAACGCTTCACTGTATCCAAGTAATCCCGATGAAGAAAATACATATGATCCCGATATTCTGGAAGGTTTGGAGATGAACATGACAGATAATGAGGATGATGACAATGAATCGAACATTTTTGAGCGACAAGAAGAAGAAGACGACGAACAAGAAGAAGATAATTAGCTTCCATTTCCAATTTCATTACAATTAAAATCAACAAAGATACTTTTGATATTTGAACTCACATTTTGATAAATGTATATTATGCCTTATTTAATAATAAATAAAAATATGTGTAAAATATATACTCTTACTATCATTTTAACTTAAAATAAAACTAAAATATATAATCCAGAATTAATAATATTTAATACTTAAATAGTTAAATATGAATAATTATATATAAATAATCAAGTTACTTACTTTAATTAAATATAAATAATTAATAGTTAGTACATAAATAATAGGCATTGTTTAATAATTATAATTTCCAAGTAAATAATTGACTTTATAACGTACTGATAACCATAACTCACGCTTGACCTTGCATTAGGCCGTATATGACTGTACGATGTGCACTCTTCGCGCTCTACCCTCAAAACGGTTGGTCGTATGAAAAAAAATTTTGAACAAAAGTTGTAGAGAATTTTATAGCCTACAACTTTTATAATAAATGCAAATCTCATTTAACCGATAGGAAGCCAGATATTCGCGAAAAACCGATTTTTGTGACCTTTGACCTTGAATATCTTGAGACGCGGACACGATAACGATTGTGACTTTTGAGACAACATTTAGAATGACAAAACAAAGGTTCATACCAATTTGCAGCTTATTATCTTTCATTCCGAGGTTGACCCCTTTTTTTACCTAATATGACTGGGCTACTGGGGTAACGCACACGAAAGAAACCCTTTCAATATCATCATCAACAGCCTTTACTAGTCCACAGCTAGACATATGCCTCACCTTAGAAATGAGGTTTAGGCCTACTATACCACGCTGGCCAGACAGGTTGGTATAGGATTTCTTTCAAGTTTTCCTTCTCTTTGTAGGGCTGTTGTGACGCGTAGTTTGCTCCCTTAGTCGGCCCTTACGACACCCACGAGATGAATAGTGGTGATGAGAATCCGTATACTTAATCCGTCACCACACGGACATTTCTTTGAATACATTTTTCCATAATTTCCCCATCTTTAATCCCCAAAATGTACAGAAGTACACAGAAGTATTAAACACCCAGCTTTTTTGATTTTGAATTTGTATGACTATTGACTATCTTGGAAGAGCAATGCTTCGGCCCAGGCTCGACTGGAGTGGTACCACGGCCTCACAGAAAACCAGTGTTAAGCAACTCTTTTATTGCTTATCACCGAGTGAGGTTCTCGGAGCCCAAACCCTTTCCCTCGCACCAATGCTGGGGAGCGCCTCAAAGGGGAAGCAAGGTACGTGTACTCTATATAGAAAAAAAAACAAAATATGACGTGGGCAAATACCAAGGAGTAGTTATTCTTACCACTTATTGAGTTCTGGTACATTAGTGACAGCCACGGGGATGGCACCAGCTTCTCTCAACAATCGCACACACTCAGCGTCTTCAGTTGCACGTATATGTTTCCTTGACGCTACACCCAGGGTGTGCAGCATACCCTTGACGGCGTGGGACTCCTTAGCCGTGAAGGGGACACCTGGAAATCATTGAATGATTGAATCTTTTCCACGTTTCAACCAGTCCATAGTCTCAGACTGGCTCAGTGGTGCATGCACGTCATTGTATTCATGTAGTTTTAGATATTTTTAGGGTTCCGTACCCAAAGAGTAAAACGGGACCCTTTTACTAAAACTCCGCTGCCTGTCCGTCTTTTACCAGGCTGTATCTCATGAACCGTGATAGTTAGACAGTTGACATTTTTAGAGATGTATTTCTATTGCCGCTATAAAAATAAATACTAAAAAAATAACAAAATAAATATGTAAGTGGGGCTCCCATACAACAGACATGATTTTTTTTGAAGTTTTAAAGATAATGGTACGGAACCTTTCGTGCGCCAGTCCGACTCGCACATGGCCCATTTTTTTAAATTCTTCTCGATATGTTCTGTCACATACAGCATACCACATCAAAGTGATACATATATGATCGAGTTAATTCTCGTGTATGAAAATATAAGGCAGTACAGCTTTAAGATTACTTAATTATATTCATAGAGCTGTGTATTAGGGTTATTTAAAACAGTACCTAATTAGATATATAATGTTATATAACTAGAATTAACTTTCTACAACAGACCAATTGTTATTGAGGGCAGCACTTTCAAAGGAAAATATTTCCATAATCTAATGTAGACATTCTCTCTGAAACGCAAACACATTAAATATTGTCTGGCCATATTTATCTTAGTACTAGCTGACCCGCGCTACTTCGTCTGCGTCTCTCAATAGTAATAAATTTTCTCCGTTTTTGAAACATTCTTCATTGGTGCTCCGCTCCTATTGGTCTTAGCGTGATGATATTATAGCCTATAGCCTTTCTCGATAAATGGGCTATCTAACACTGAAAGAATTTTTCAAATCGGACCAGTAGTTCCTGAGATTAGCGCGTTCAAACAAACAAACAAACAAACTCTTCAGCTTTATAATATTAGTATACATTACTTTTGAGTTGTATATTGGGACCACTAGTAAAAAAAAAAATTAATGTCTTGGGAAGTACGGTCAACAAAAAAATATTTAGAAGTTATACAAATAAAGCTAACCTTTATGAAATGATAAAATATTTTTTATTTCAATGGCAGCTGTCTATAGGTAATATGCAGAAATGTTTTTAATTATTTTTCTCTGTATATGTAAAAGATATTAAACCACTTACCTAAGAACGGTTTCGTTTGGAAGTATTCATGAGGTACACCGCTTTCAATAATACGGTCTACTTCTTGAGCATCTCTTAGTGCATCGTCAAACCTCTCATCAGTGACTGCATTTAGAATGGGATTCACCTAATATAAGATATATAAGATAATATAAGATAAGAGCAGGCAGTAAAACAAATGAGTGGTACTAAACATGTCAAACATTTATAAGAAGTAGGAGTACATAAATTATTTTTAAACTGTCACTCTTCAGAAGTTCCTAAACAGGAACTTCCCTTTTTTAAAATGGGAAATCTGACATCATTTTCCAATGTAAGTATACTATATTAACTTCGCATAAAGCAATTATGTAGCATAGTGGGATTAAGAACGGTCACAACGCTAGCACCCGACTATGTATTTTGATATTTATGTATTTATAAATGTGTATGTTCATGTATTGTATGTGTATACTTGGGACCTCTATGTATATATGTAGTAATGAATATAGTGTATATATGTAAGTTAGATTTTTCTTAAATTAATACATTTAATATGAATAAAGTGAAATTCTGTTTTCTCTTGCATCTACTACTACTACTACTACTACATCTATCATTTTTCTAAATCACCCGAAGATCCACTGGCATAGAATGCCCTGGGCATTAAGTCCGCCTGTGTACAACTTGTGCATTAAGTTATATAAATAAATGAAATAAATTAACATTGACTTGGATACAAATGATTGAGGATTCTAGTCGCCAGCCCCAAGTAGAATCCACCAAACAAGTAAATATTTTAGCTGAATGAGCTAACAAGAATAATAATAATAACTTCACACATCTCACACACAGCCATCTGATCATAGAACCTGTGATATGGTAACCAGATTGCTGATGAACTTACTTTTAAAAATATTTCTAAATACATACATATTATAAATAAATTACACCCAGAAAGAGAACAAATGATCATGCTCATCACACAATTATTAGTCCTGGGTGGGAATCGAACTTACGACCTCTGGCTTAGCAATTAGGGTACACTATCACAAGGAAAAATTTATTAATAAGAATTATTACATGAAATTAATAAAAAAACTTACATCTTTAATCCTATCAATGGTTGTCCTCATCAAGTCTTCAGCCTTCAATTGTTTGGTTTGAATTTTCAATGCCAAACTCACTGCACTCTCCAACAGTATACTTTGTGACTTCTTTAAATCAGGTATTTTCTTTGCCTGACTCTCATATAGGTAGCCAAAGATCAAGTCGACCAACTTTTCAAAATATATCCGAATAATGAAGAAGAATTGTCTCAACATGCTGATAGAGATACCGTAAAATAGTGAACTGGATTTATTGTTTTCCTGAGACAAATGAAAGTATCTGCTATAACTTTACACATCGTACACATGGCTGTCTGAACACAAACTAGGCAGGACCTATTTTACAGATTTTACTTCAAAATTGACCTGAGCATGTAGTTAACAGCATTTCGCTTCATACTATGTACAAAGAACAGCCATAAGAGTAAAAGCCATAACCAGTTTGTAATGAAATGAAGAAGTGCATGAAAGAGGATGTTAAGTGATCAAGGAGAAGAACACTCATTCCATCAACTCCAAAAAATTTGAAAAAATCTGAAGAAGTTGATGGGAATTGAACCCACAACCTATATTACCAATCAGGGCCCTGTTTAATAAACGTTACAATCTGATAATTTTGAAAATAAGTGACATATTTGTAAAGTTATATGACAAGTGCTGTTTAACTCTTCACCTATGATATGCCACTATACTGTAAAGTGCTTTAACTGGTAAGCGCTGTACTGTGTAGCGGCATATCAGAGGTTAACAAACCCTACAATTATGTAAGAGTTTTAGAACTAAAAACATTACAAATATTGTTTAAAAAACATTTACATGTGCAAAAAAACACCTGTAAATTTTAATGGCAATTTTGTACCTATCTACTAATTTCTAATTATCACCACCACCACTTACACTTGTTACAAACAGTTGCTGCAAATGATAAAAGTAACTTTACCCACCACCAGTCAAAGTGAATCTTAAACTTATACAGATAATCCCATAGTTTGAAATAAATAAAAAAGCCCCATCTATTTCTTGACGGGTTCTAGCAACCTTTTTATGGCTTTCCTGAAACAAAAATGAGTATATCTTCAATAAATATACAACTAAGAAGAAGTAAGAGAAGGTCTAAGAAGTTTTTAAACTGTTTATCTTATATAAACTTCTTATAAACTGTATATCTACAAGTTTTTATGTCAAATGATTATTAACAAATATAAACATTTGTCTATGATAATCTCTACTACTAAAGAGGTTTCTTACAAGCAGGCAAATAATAACAGAAATGATGCTATTAAGTTGTTGTATAATATTTACCTAATTATTGTCAAATTTTAAATAGAAACAAAAAAACAAGTTTTGGTCATTTTGACTTTGTACATATAAATTTTGAAAACTTAATTTCTAATTTTTTCCGACCAATCATAAAACTAAATTTTTGGTAAATAGATCTATGTACCTATTTAAAATTTAGAAAATATTGTGTTAGGTTGGTTAATCTGTAGGTATATCCATTATGAATTAGGTACATACCAAAATGTTAATAATCATCATTTAGTGGCATTATCACACACAAAATGTGTTAATCTTAGATTATTAATAATGGAGATTATTCACACAATAATAATTTTAATACCTAAAGTAAGTTACTTCATTTGTATGTCATGTAACATGGTCGTCATGGTCCAAGATAATAAATTTTGCTGACTCTCGAAGTGAACTTTGCATAAACGATAAGTCGAAAACTTCAAAAAGTAGTATCTGTCTGTGTGTCACACAAAACATTGAACTCTAGACGCTGTCTCTTTCAATAAAATAATTTTTATGAAGTATTATTACGTTTTCAATTTTCATTACCAAATTTTATAAAATCCTATTACATACCGCAACAGTCTCTTCCTTGCTGCTAAGTTTATTACTCATAGTTTCAATTAACACACCAACTGCATTAGATTATGTAAATAAGTATTTTGTACTCTACGTTTGCATATCGATGATACAGCAAAAACTTCAGGAAAGTTTTTGTAGTTAGCGCTCATCGAATTACACAATAGAACGTCGTGGAAGCAACATAGGTAGTATAAGAGTGTACTTAACAACTTTCTAATGTAAAACTTTTTTGAATTTTATGTAACCACGGCGGTACGTAGCAGAAACAAAAAGTACTATAGCGATTACAAGTAAATTCGTAATCATAGATATAAGTATGTGGTTATAGGTAAATAATATATAACATTGTTAATGATATTGCTTTTAATACATAAAAATTAACTGTCAAAAATCTATTTTAACTAAAATTAAATAAGGTTGAAGCAAATATCAACGAAAACTTCTATATTTTTTAAATGGCAAACGATGTCAATGTCGACACTGTCAAACGTGCGCTGAAGTGTCTGTTTGTGTAAAGTTTGAGCCTAACGGACACAAATGTAAATATCATCAGAATTTAAAAGTAGTGGTACTCCATACCACTACTTTTAAATTTAGAAGAATCTAAGATTTAGAAGGGCGACAAATTTTATAGAAAAATATTTTTTTAATTTTGTTAATTGACTTTACAGGTTGAGTTCGTAATATTTTGGGAACCAGTGAAAAAATATGTTCTAGGATATGTACCATGAAGGCTACACTCACATAAAAAGGATCTCAAGCGGAGGTATCAGAAATAACGGCTTTTGAAATAATAATAATATAATTTATTTCAGAAAACTTGTTCCATATACAATAACAATCATTCATTACATCATATCATCAATTACAATTTACTTAAAAATAAATAAATAAATAAAGATATTAATATTTGAATAAATTATTACATTACTTCATTCACATCAATCACATCAACTGCCTATAATAGTCCTTAAAAAGCTTTTCCTTAAAAAGGAGGTTTTGGCCTACTATACCACGCTGCCCAGACGGGTTGGTATAGGGTTTGTGTCAAGTTTTCCTTCTTTTTGCAGTGCTAGTGTCCTGCGTTGTTTTGCGCCCTTAGTCGGCTCTTACGACACCCACGGGATGAATTAGGGTAATGACATTTCGTATTCTTAATCCTATTTACCTAACCTATATATTTAATCTTACTTCATTGTTTAAGATTAAAATTAAAAAAAGTAAAAAATCATGAAATAGTTCATAAAATAGTCAAAATTTGATGTCATAAATTAAATTACATTACCTAACCTTTTTTTTTTAACGTGTGGAAATCCCCTCGGACCGTCACCCCACCGGGGTTTGCGGCGGGGTGGTGTGTCGGACTCGGACCGACTAAAACCACACGGTGTGCCACTCTGCGCCTGTAATAGGAGGGATCCGAGAACAGCTGCTATTAAGACATCCGGATCCGCTCCTGTTGCGGGCCCCGTCTCAAAATTTTCCTCTCTTTAGGCGACGTCCGGCACACGCGGACGCCGCCCCCTCGCGGCTGGCCAAACTAATGCGGGTGGAGGGGAAACCCACCCCGTCCACCCGCGGCCACACTCAGGGCGTCATGAGGCGGTGATAGGCGCGCCTCCGCCGCCCGGTTCGGCGGCGGCGGATCGGGTCCGAGTGGAGGTCGTCCTCCCGGGCCTTCTCCGCCGCCTCCTTCTGCGAGATTACTTCCTCGCAGAAGGTTGCGACCGCGGTAAAACAACTGTCGCTGCCGGCCATGGAGCGTACTACGGCCGGTAGCGAGAGATCCACTCCGATGACTGCAGTGAGGGCCCGGCGCTGCGTCGCCAATGCGGGGCAGACCGCCAGCGTGTGCTGGGCCGAGTCCTCACTGCAGTCGCAGTGGTGGCAGGCGGGACTCAGTTCCCTCCTAGCGACCGAGTGCAGGTACTTTCCGAAGCAACCGTGCCCGGCAAGCACCTGCGTCAGCCGGAAGGAAAGGGTCCCGTTCTGCCGCCCCGCCCACTCGGCGATGACAGGCTGGAGAGCCTCCACGGCGGCGAAGCCAGCGCGTGGAGTCTCCAGCCGGAACGACCAACGAGCCATTGTGGCTCGGCGAGCGGCTTCGCGCCACTCGCGCACATCCTCGGGCGGAGGGCGAAATCCACTCTCCGCCCGGGAGTCAGCCACTCGCCGATAAACTTCGGCGAGCACTTCCGCTTCTTTGGAGCAAGCGCTTTGGAGCAAGCTGTCGGAAGTGCTCGTCGAAGAGCCACCTCCCGTCGAGGATCAGGCCCAGATATTTCAACTGGGCCCGAACCGGTACGAGGACCGAGTTGACCACGATTGAGGCGCCAGGGGGTGGACCACGACGGGGCCCATGAAATAACAGGGCCTCCGTCTTATCTAGGGCCACCCGTAAGCCCAGCGCCTCAATGCGCCCGACCACCAGGGAGACTCCCCTTGTGGCCAGGCGCGCCGCCTCTTGGAAGTTTGCCCCCCGGGCTGTCACCAGGGTATCGTCTGCGTAACACATTACACCCAGCCCGGGGGGGAAATCGGCGCGAAGGGCCCAGTCGTACCCTATGTTCCACAAGAGGGGTCCAAGAACAGACCCCTGTGGAACACCGCACGACATGGGCCGACACCTCAAATTACCATCTCGGTCCTCGTACACGACGGTACGCTCCTCTAAATAGTCTGCCACTAGCCGCCTCAGGAACGGATCCGTAGAACAGCCGCCCCTACCTCCGAATCCCGGACGGGCGGAACATCATCCTCCTCGTGCTCCCCGCCGTCTCCGGCCAAGGAGGCCATCGCCGGGGGAGTGTGTTCCGCTCGTTGCGGGAAAAGGCCCTCAACCACTTCTCGGGGGGGCCCGACGCGCGGAGCTTTTGTCGCAGCGCGCGATAAGGGCGACCCCAGGGGTCACGATCGAGACCCTCCAGCATCTCCTTTCTCTTCATCTCTTTGGCGCGGCTAATGGCCAGCTTCAGAGTTTTCCGCGCCTCTCGGTACTCCTCATGAAGCCGGTCCTCCTCACCGTCTCCACGGTGACGCCGCCGACTGCGCGTGTAGGACCTCCGGGCACGTGTACAGGCCGCACGGAGGTCCGCCAGCTCCTGGGACCACCAGTAGACCTCCTTCCTTGGAGGCCGACATGGGCATGGCATGGGCATGGCCGCATCGCAGACATGCGTAAGCGCATCGCGAAAGCGACCAGCCCCCACGTCGACCTCCTCGGTCGGGGCCCGAGGAGACAGCCACGAGTGAATTATGGCTGCCTCCTCTAGTAGGTCCCGGTTCAGTCTAGCAACAGCCCACCGCGGAAAGCGGGATAGACGCCGCGCCACGTGACCCCTACTGGAGTCCTGGGTCCGGGAGAGCTCAAATCGGATATAAAGATGATCCGAGAGCGTCTCAACCTCTTCCAGGACACGCCAGTTCCTTACTCGTGCGGCGAGGGCGCCCCTTGCTGTCGCAGGCACGTGTTGGTGGAGCCTCTGTTGAGAAGACAGAGGCCCACCGAGGCCGCCCACTCCTCTACGGCTTCGCCCCTTGCGTCCGTCCCGGGGGAACCCCACGCAGTGGATTTTGCGTTGAAGTCCCCCAGAACAAGGACGTGCCCAGACGCTAGTCGCCGCATCGAGGTCTCCAGGTTGTTGAGGAAAACCTCGAAGTCGCTCAAACTCCGGTTGGGGGAGAAATAAACACCATATATGGTGATCCCCCCCCACTCGGCGGCAACATATCCAGTGCCCTTGTCTCTTAGCGACAAGGGCGGGGAATGAGCCGCCGTGGAACCGAGCCGGAGTGGAACGGAGCCGTCCCAGTCACCCATCCAGTTTGGACGGGGAGGGACAAAATAGGGCTCCGCGACTACGGCAACACCTATCGACCACTGTGCCATGGTTTGCAGGAAGAGATCCTGGGCCGCGGCACAGTGGTTCAGGTTCGTCTGGACCAGGAGGCTGGAGACCCGATCCATTACTGGATCGTCTCTACAGCCTCCTCAATGGGCGACGACGTCGACGCACGAACTACATCGGAGGCAGCCTGGGTCGACTGGCTAGCCCCCGATGCTTGCTGAGAGTTGCGGGGAGGCTTGCAGCCCCCCTGCCCCATCTGGTGATTGGCGGGCTTGTTACACACACCGGGCAGTGAGGGGCGGCAGTGCATTCCACCGCCACATGCCCCGGTCGACCACAGCGGAAACATAGTCCGCTGCAGTCGAAGCAGCTTTGGCACTTGACGCGCGTGTGCCCCGATGCTAGGCATTTATAACACCTCATCGGTCTCGCCGCCAGGACTGTGATCCTAGCGCTCACGAAACCGATGAGCAGCCTGCCGGCGTCGGCCAATACTTTAGCCCTGACGTTGTCCGCGCTGCACCCCGTCTTCTCCCGGATTACAGCGCGGACATCTTCGGCCGTCACAGAGTCGTCCAGGCCCGAGATGCGCAGCTCCGCGCACTTGGTAGGCCTGGCGACCCTGACACCATCTGTGGTCGCAAATATACCCCGCAGCCTCTCAGCAAACGAGTCCGCCGTCTTTGCGCCTTCAGCCCCAGGGAACTCGAGAATTCGAGCTCCCGTCTGGGCGAGGCGCATCCTGACCCCCACCGTCCCAAAATCGTTGGCGAGGCTGTCCCGGGCCTTTTTAAAAACGGCCGCGTAGGACAGCCCGCCGTCAGCCGCCTCCGGGGACACGGTCACCACTACAGCCGCGGTTTTAGGCGGCTGCAGCTTCCACGGCCTCTTAGTAGAGGCCGTTGTCACCGGTGGCGAAGGCTGGGCTTGGGCTGCTTTTTGAGCAGCTCTTCTTTCCCGCCTTCGGGACTTCTTGGAGCCCCTCGCCTCCTGCCAACCCTCGTTGGAGGGGGCAGGTGCGGAGGGGCCCGGCAGGGGTGTCGGAGTGGGGAGCGGAGGGAAAGCCACTCCTCTCGTCGGCGCCGTTTTAGGCCCCGTCTTGGCCGCCGGCACTTTGGCCTGCGCCTTGGCCGGCGCCTGGGGAGGTGCCTTGGCCGGCGCCTGGGCCGGTGCCTTGGCCCCCCT